CCTGTTCTTCCCTCTCACTCTCTCCAAAAGTCAATGGAAAAATATTCTCTGGTGAGGATTTACCAAAAAAAAAAAAAAAAAAAGGGGGGGGGGGGGGGTGGCAATAAATAAGTACCTATCTACATGTATAAAAGCCCAAGAGACCAGACGACCAAACAACTGAACAACTGGTCAGCTGGTTACTATGACATGCATTGACCACCGGGAGGAGACACTCAATGCAGGAGCTTTCCCTTGGTGGTCAATGTGCTCCCACAGTGGGAGTATCACTCAGCTGACTAATCCATCCCAGCGGCCCACCAGCCCCTCAGTAGTCCTAGAAGTCCACCACAGAGAACGAGCCAGGCAGACATCCCTCTCACAATCCAGGACTGTTGGCTCCTAACTGCTCGCCTGCCTGCCTTCTTGATTGCCCTAACTGCTTCTTCCTGCCAGCCTGATCACCCCCTAACTACTCCCCTGTCATCCTGATAGATGCCTTACTGCTCCCCTGCCAACCTGTTTGTTCCTAACTGCCCTCCCATGCAGGCCTGGTCATCCCTAACTGCCCTTCCCTGCAGGCCTGGTTGCCCCCAACTTCCCTCCTCTGCTGGCCTGGCCAACCCTAACTGCTCTCCCCTGCAGACTTGATCGGCCCCAACTTCACTCCCTTGCAGACCTGGTCCCTCTCAACTGCCCTCCCCTGCTGGTCATCTTGTGGTGGCCTTCTTGTGTCCACATGGGGGTAGGATCTTTAACTACATGGGGGCAAGCCATCTTGTATGTTGGAGTGATGGTCAATTTTCATATTACTCTTTTATTAGATAGGATAGAGACCTGGTGCATGGGTGGGGGCCAGCTGGTTTGCCCTGAAGGATGTCCTGGATCAGGGTGGGGGTTCCATTGGGGCATGGGGTGGCCTTGGCAAGGGGCCTGTAGTAGGCTGGCCATGCCCGTCCCCCACCCCCCCACAACCCAAATGAAGGCCCTGGTATCTGGGATTTATTTATCTTCTATAATTGACTTTATAGCCTTGAGAGGAGTCCAGGTTGTGCAGAAAACTTGGCTTCCTCCATCACCACGGAAATCCAAGCCTCCTGCTCTCTCTGTGGCTACAACCATCTTGGTTGGATTAATTTGCATACTTGCTCCTGATTGGCTGGTGGGCAAGGCTTGTGGGTGTAGAAGAGATATGGTCAATTTGCACATTACTCTTTTATTATATAGGATTACTAGAGGCCTTGTGCACGGACTTCACAACTTGGTGGGGGGGGGAGGTGTCTTCAGCCTGGATTTTGAGAGGGTACAAGCCTGGCTGAGGGATCTCACTGGTGCACAATCAGGGCTGGGGAGGGAAGCAGGGCATGTTCAGACAACCTTGCTCAGTCCCAATCAGCTGAACCCCAGCATCTGCCCCTTGGTGGTCAGTGCACGTCAGATTAGCATATTATGCTTTGATTGGTTGAATGGATGACCAGACACTTAGCATATTAGGTTTTCATTATATAGGATTATTATTATTAAACAGTATTAAATATATTCATTTAAAGTAATCAACTTTCTGATTAACATAATCATTTTAGTAATATATATAAAACGTTTGCCAAGACCAGTTTGGCTCAATGGATAGAGTGTCAGATTGGGGACTGAAGGGTCCCGGGTTCAATTCTGGTCAAGGGCATGTACCTTGGTTGTGGGCATAGGGGGTTTGCAAGAGGCAGTTGATCAATGACTCTCTCTCATCGAGCTTTCTAACTCTCTATCTCTCTCCCTTCCTCTCTGTACAAAAAAAAAATCAATAAAATATATTAAAAAAGTAAATTAAAAAAAATAAAACCTTTGCTTCCTAGGCAAATACAGGGAAAACCTTTTTTTCCTTACATTCAGAAGTAGGCTTATTTTTCTAACAGAAAACATGCTCACATTTTTAAGAAGCATAACAGAGATAGTGAATTCCTTAACTGAGAAACAATTCCCTCGAACTTGGAAATCCAAGCTGGCTCCAATGACTCACTGCACAGTTACTTTTATTGTCTTACTTTTTGTTTTCTAGGGTTCCATCATGTTTTGTTGCATTCCTGGTTCCTTACATGGAGCACCACTTTGCCAGGGCTGACTTGGCAGACCCTGAACAATGGATAAACAGATTGCTCTGATACATGTTTCTGTGAAAGAGAGGGCTAAGGAACTGCTTGGCTATCGCCACCAAGTAGCCCTGTTCACCTGGGGATGATCAGGCTGACAGGCAAGTGAGCAGTTGGGAGCCAGAAGTCCTGGATTATGAGAAGGATGTCCAACTGCCAGTTTAGGCCCGATCCCACAGTGATTGGAGAGGGTGCAGGCTGGGCACCCACTCCCCCCCTCCCCAGTGCACAAATTTCATGCACCAGGCCTTTAGTATATGCATATATTCATAGATCAATGGACAAGGACAACAATGTACTAAATCCCTGGGTTGGAGCATGGGTGGTGTGGAGGGGAGAAAAGCATGGGAGAAATAGGGGATATATGTAATAGTGTTCCCAATTTTTTAAAAAAGGAATCAGAGGAAATGGGAAAATAAAAGTTTGGGGACATATTCATACATGCACATACACGTGAATATGTACAAATATACACATACATCAAACCAAACGGGAGCAAGACTTTTTTTTTTTATCGGTGTCTGCAAATGCTGGGCCACACCATTGAACTCGTTCAGGATATTATTGGGAGTAGGCCACCTCTGGAATTGTAGAGTCTTCTTCCATGCAAAACCACATGGACTCATTGCCAGCACAATGCCTACCTGATTCTCTTGGGAGGAAGTCTGACACCATTTCGTCACTCTTTGCTGCCAGAGGTAGAGATGAGGCTGTGATCTGGATGTTCTGTTCTCCCATTCTGCAATAATGTGAGCAGGCCCACACAGGTGCAGCTGCCAGGTGACACTGGAGACACCCTGCTCATTAAGGACAGCCAGTCAGAGCTCTCTCTCTAATGGCCCCACAGCCCACCTTGGGGAACTTGGCCATGACTTGGTTTTCACTGCTCACAGAGCAGTGTGTTTGTATATGACAGACTCCTGGCAAACGGCAGGAACATGACTTAGCTAACCATCTGACCACTTCTAAAATGCCATCTAGTCAGACACAACAGAGCCCAGCTGTACTCTCTCATATGTAAATCTGGTGTGAGTGAATGCCAAAGCACCTCTCTGTTAGCAAACTCAGGGGGATAAATACAATAGAAACGACATAATCAGTCCATGGTTCAAAATGACAAGCAGTTTATTGAAGATACCATAGAAGTACAGTCTATCACTGGATGCAGTGATGGGGCCAAACGCATGAGAATTTTTATAAGATAATGAATTAATAGCTGGGTTACAAAATGGAAAATTAGAGCTAATTCAATCAGTAGACTTCTCTTTTGAACTGTTTGTTGAACTGTGAAATAACTGACCTTCTTTAGTAAAGGGAATTTGGTTGCAGACATCCAAAATGATGTTATCAACACACCACTGTCATCATTTTGAGCATCCACTTCATGCTCAAGTCTACTACTCTATGCATTTTGAACTCAGGATGGAGAGAGATAAAAAGTATAATTGTTTCCCTTTGAAACATCCTGAGTTAGATTAGGATTAAGCAATAGATTCTCTGATTATTCAGAAGCTCAGATCACAAATTGGGATGTTGACCTGAGCCTCTCTTATTGGACCCATTGTAGAGTTAATTAAATCACATCACATTTTAAAACTTAGCAAGAAGCGGCGGTGGCACTTCCTACAGTGTGTCAGCCTTAGCCACACGCAGCTTTGCCTGGGAACTGTGCCCATGTGCAGCCACAGCTGCAGGTTCCCGAGAGGAGACTATGGACCAGGCAGCATTACTCCTCTTATCATCCCAAACATCTTGGAGGTGGATAAAATCATTTCCTCTTTTTACAAAGGAGGAAACGGAGAGGCTGAGAGAAGTGAAGGAGGTACTGCTAGCCGGCAGAGAGCAAGACTCAGTTTCCTCAATGAGCATGAACGAGAGAGGAGAAGCCGCGTGAGCAGTTGCAAAGGATTGCCAAGGACACATGGGAGGGAACAGTGCTCCAAAGTACACATTCTAGCTCAGTCACCAGGCTAATCACTTACTCTCCCTGCAGAGGGAGGCTCACCCTTTTTGCCTAACTACTTCATAGGATCTTTGGGAGGTCCAAATAAGATCCCATATATGAAAAGCCTTGAAACAGCAAAGCATTTGACAACACATTTTCAGTAAAAGGACAGAAGTCTAAATCATACTCCTTAAGAGCATAACACTTCAATCATCAGGGCTTCAATGGAAAGACTATACCTCCTCTGATCCCGGACTAAATCCTTTAAATAAATGGTACAGGATTTTCTTAAGCAATCTTTTACAGAGAAAGGGCTCAGGCATACATGCTGGTACCTGAACTGGTCTTTGCAGGAGGCTTTAGTGACTTAAATTTAATGCAGACACCCTGCCAGGGCTATTTATCTTGAATGAAGAAAGTAGGCATTTTCTTGTTGCTATCGATCCTGTTCCAAAGAAACGCCTTCTGTAAATTTACACTCTTAATCTTTGCAATACAAGAACGAGGAAAAAATAAACAACACTTCTAATGAAAGGGTCACATTATATAATGTAATTCACTTTTTATTATCATCATCTTTATAAACAGCCAAGTCCACAGTTCAGTCTCCAGACAATGAATGCAAAAGCAGATGATCAATGTATAGGAAGGACACCTGCATGTAATGTGATAACAGCGTAGCTTTGGAGCCACTGTTTTGCCAGTCTATTAAAAGGTAACCACAGAATCAAATCCTGAACAATTAAGACAATGCAGTCTTTGAACAATTAAAAACAATGAATTGTCATGTCAGTGTGGGAGATCTGAAGATCTGAGCAATCCAGCCTTTTAGGTAATGTGGAAATCCTATTTTCTCCTTTCATCTAAGGATCATTAAAGAGAAATCTCTCTCTCCTCTCTCTCTCTCTCTCTCTCTCTCTCTCTCTCTCTCTCTCTCTCTCTCTCTCTCTCTCTCATACACACACACACACACACACACACACACACACACACACACACAAGACTACCTGCCCAGGGCACATGTGACTCAGGGACACACTTCCCAGAGGATTGATGGAGGCACCATCATTCCAGCATGTGCTGGAGTACAGAGAGGTCCCCCTCCACAGCCTGGAGGCCCCTTTGCAAGCTCTGGAAGGTGGCCTGCTTCCCGTAGCGCTGCCTCCAGCGGATGAAGGCCTCCACCATCTGTGACTGCACATTGTGGGGGTGGTTGGCCTTACAGCGGTAGATATCTGTCTGGGACAGTCCCAGAGACAGCACCATGGGCTCCCACTCGGGGCCCAGCCTCTGGGCCAGCTGGTTAATCTGCCGGTCTGACGGGGAGCTGTTGAGGATGTGTGGAGGGATTCCAGTTACCTGGTTACCTGGGGAGGAGAAAGACACCAAGGTGAAGAGAGCAAGCAAAAACATCATGGGGTGGGGGTTGGGGAGAATGGAAAACATAGGGAGTATGACGTACACTTCCAAATATCAGGGACCGATTTTTCCTAGTCTTCTTGGGGGGTGCTCAGTACAAAGCCATAGATAGGGGCTGGAGAAATACCATTCAGCATCTATGAAAATTCAACGTTTATTACAGAAAATTTGAAAACAAGAAAATAAAAATAACTAGGAATCTCACCAGAGAAACCAATTGATTTGATCTGTTTCCTTTCAGTCCTCTATGTAAAACACACATTTAGGATTACAGTGCACATACTGCTTTGTAACAAGCTGTTTTCACTTCCATCTCTCTCACTGGAGAGGCTAAGAAGGGGGTTTTGGAGGAATGTGAGGGTGCTTACAGGGGCCCTAGATCCCTCTAGCACTGGCCAATGGGCACAGGGGTGACACTGTGGCCTGCGGGACTGGCTAGTGCTGGAGGGTAACCTGCTAAATAGAACAGCTACCCTCTCCTGACAAACGTGAACATCACCAGAGAAGGGAAGGGAAAAGTGTGTATGATGCACCCTGTGCAGAAAGAAACTGTATTGTGCAAAAGCCCTGAGGCAGGAGAACATGGTGCATTAAAAAAAGTGAAAGAAGTTCATTGTAACAAAGTTCAAATATTGAGGACTCCAAATATCCTCAATTATGGTACTGGTTACTCTTTAGGCCAGGACTAGAAGTGGGGTCTCCACATTCCTGGCTCAGACATCTGCACAATAGCAATTGCACTGCACTTTCTGTCACCAATATCACAGGTCAAGCCCACTTCACACTCACCAGCTCACTGTTTTGATTTATGAAGTCACCTAGAGGCCTGATGCACAGAATTCATGCAAGGGGCTTGGCCCTCACAGCTGCAGTGGCTTCCCTTGGCCCTTGTAGCCCCGGCTTTGTCTGGAAGCTTGTCTGGTCTAATTAGGATATTATGCTTTTATTATTATAGATAAGGAGACAAAAGGTATCTTATTAGAATAGACAATGTTTTGGCACGAGTTATAAAATTAATGTCAAGGGCTCTTTCTGGTGTTTATCAAAATTATAATTTAAAAAAAAATTACTAAGTAGCAATTAGAACAATGATATCACTGACCAGTATTTTATATTAATAGTATTAATTTCATGACTTTTATAAAAACAAAACAAAACACTAGAGGCCCAGTGCATGAAATTTATGCACGGGGGAGGGGGTGTCCCTCAGCTAAGCTTGCACCCTCTCCAATCTGGAACCCCTCGAGGGATGTCTGACTGCCCATTTAGTCAGACATCACTCTAACACACAAGATGGCTTCCCCTATGTGGTCAAAGATCCTACCCCCATGTGGACACAAGAAGCCACCACAAGATGACCAGCAGAGGAAGGCAGTTGGGAGGGACCAGGTCTGCAAGGGAGGGCAGTCGGGGGCAATCAATCCTGCAGGGGAGGGCAGTTAGGAGTGACATCCTAACTGCCCTCCCCTGCAGGACATCTCTCTCACAATCCAGGACTTCTGGCTCCCAACTGCTCATCTGCCTGCCTTCCTGGTTGCCCCTAACCACTTTTGCCTGCCAGCCTGATCTCCCCCTAACCAACTGCTCCCTAACCAATTGATGCCCAACTGCTCTCCTGATGACAGCCTGTTTGCCCCCAACTTCCCTCCTCTGCTGGCCTGGTCCCTCCTAACTGCTCTCCCCTGCAGGATTGATTGCCCCCAACTGCCCTCCCTTGCAGACCTGGTCCCTCCCAACTGCCCTCCTCTGCTGCCCATCTTGTGGTGGCTTCTTGTGTCCACATGGGGGTAGGATCTTTGACCACATAGGGGCAGCCATCTTGTGTGTTAGAGTGATGCTCAATCTGCACATTACTCTTTATTAGATAGGATAAAAACCTGATGCATGGTTGGGGGGGCAGCTGGTTTGCTTTGAAGGGTGGGGATTCCCTTGGGGCATGGGGCAGCCTGAGCGAGGGGCCTGTGGTGGTTTGCAGGCCGACCATTTCCCTGTCGACCCAAGCAGAGGCCCTGGTATCTGGGATTTTATTTATCTTCTACATTTGAAACTTTGTAGCCTGGAGCAGAACCAAGCCTTCAGCTGGCTGCATGGCAGCAGCCATTTCTGTTGGAATTTATTTATCTTCTATAATTGAAACTTTGTAGCCTTAAGCGGAGACCTGGGCTGACCAGGATGCATAGAAAGCTTGGCTTCCTCCATCGCTGGGGAAACCCAAGCTTCCCTCCTGCTTCTCCATGGCTGCAGCAATCTTGGTTGGATTAATTTGCATAATCACTCCTGATTGGCTGATGGGCATGGCTTGTGGGTGTAGTGAAGTGATGGTTAACTTGCATATAACTTTTATTAGATAGGATATGGGCTCATTAAAAGACTCAAGCAACTCTAATAAGTAAAATAAGAAAACAAATCATTCAATATCCCACCACTGTATTCACAGTTGTTGAACATAATTTTGTACATATACTGTTAGAAGAATAATCTAACAGCCATTGTTCTAAGAATTATTTAAATTTTTTAATATAACAGAAGAAGAAAAAAAAGAAACTAAATGGCTTTCTGACCTGCAGTTAAAATACTTAAAACACATGCAAACCACACATACACACACACACACAAATCAATGCTGAGAAAAAAAGTTATGAAAATTTAAGAGATATATTGCATATTTTAACATTAATGCTCTACAATAAATACTTTATATTTCCTCTCCCTTTCTTCACACCTCTTGATTTTTGTTGGTTACATAATTTTATTTTGCCAGGTGCATAACATTTACATTATAATGGTTTGGATCGTTACCCATGGTTTTTTGTTATTTTTATAACCATGGAATTCTTATTCCTGAGTTTGTTCTTTTGATTTGAATCTTTGGGTCAAATTCATCATAGGGTGATTTTTCTGAGGAAATGCTTATGGTTATTATCTTCCTTTAGTTCTTTCAAATCAAGACAACCTGCTTATTCCTTCACTGCCAAATAGTAACTTATATTTATTTAAAATGTTCATATTATGTTATTTTAATATTATTCTTTCAAATTATTAATACAATTTTATATAATTTTAATAATTTTATTCTTCTTATAAGTTTGTAGACTGTGCTCATATTTCATGGTAGAGATCATTGGTGTGGAGAATTCTGAAACCAATTTGATATTCCCATTTTATATAACTTGCATTTTCTGTCTGGTGTTTATAATATGGAAGCTTTAGATTAGAGCATAACTTGGTCATTTTCTTTCTGCTTTGCCGGGCATGTGACATGACCTTGTGACCAAAGATTTAGTTCTTCCTTCCTTTCAGAAATATCTTCTTGTTATATATTTTTTTTGTTAATCCTCACCCGAAAATATTTTTTTTGATTGATTTTTAGTGACGGTGGGAGGGAGGAAGGGAGGGGAGAGAGAAAGAGAGAAACATTGATGTGAGAGTGACACATTGATTGGTTGCCTCTCACATGCACCCTGACCAAGGCTGGGGATGGAACGTGCAACAGAGGTATGTGCCCTTGACTGGGAATTGAACATGTGACCCTTCAGTGCACAGGCTGATGCTCTAACCACTGAATAACACTAGCCAGGGCATTCTTATCATATCTTTACATTATTTTTCTGCTTCATATATTGTATGGCTTTGCCTATCCTCCATGACTATCATTTTCCCTCTTACTGCTTTCACTCCCTGTGATAAGCTCCTGCCTATCCCCAGGCCACTCATTTGATTCCACACTCTGTGTGTGTGTTTGTTTTATGGCTCAAATCTTGTATTGTGTTTTGTCCTCAATTTCTCTTCTGGCTCTTCAATCAATCTTTTACAAATCCTATTTCACCTCACACCCATTGGATGGCTACTATCAAAAAGAAGATGGCAGAGTTGATAAATGCTGGACTGGCTTCCTACCACAACCACATCAAAATTACAACTAAATTAAAGAACAATCATTCTTGAAAACAAGCCAAAGACTAGTTGAACAGAAATCTAATAACTAAGGATAAAAAGAAGCCATGTTGAGGCTAGTAGGAGGGGTGGAAATACAAAATGAGCCAGTCCCACAACCATGCAGTGGCGGTTAAGAAGCAGGAGGGATAACTTGGCTGTGAAGATCTCCCCATAAATAATGAGGGATCCCAATCCCACACAAGGTTCCTCACCCTAAGATTCTAGTGCTGGGAAGAGAAACCCTCATAACTTTTGGCTGTGAAAACCAGTGAGGATTGCAGCTGAGTGAGACAGAGAGCTGCTGGAGTCCAGGCATTCCTCTTAAAGGGCCCATTCATGGACTTACTATCTCTGAGCTCCAGCATTGGAATGGTAGCTCAAAAGTCATCAGGAACATAGAAAAGAAGCTGACATATCTGGCTTTGGAAGAAACAAAATTGTCCAGCTTCAGAGTGAGGGCTGCAGGGGCAGCTTTCTCCCAAACAGAAGTGCTGGCAGAGGACATTGTTCCTGTGTTGAGTCCTCCCACAACACAGTCTGTGGTACAGGTGGGAAACAGGTCTGAATCTCTACCAACATAGCTAACACTATTTTCCCTGCTCTGATGATTTCCTGAGACCCTGTCCCACCCAACTCTTGGGCCTGTCCAATCTGCTTTAAGTAGCTTTTCCATACAAATGGCCAGTCTCAGCTTAAGCTATGAACTTATCTAAAATTTTTCAAAGGCTCACAAATCCCAAATAAGCAGTGTCTGTCCTCAGTGTGGCCAAGTTAGATAGCCCCAGGCTGGGCACAGGCAGTGGCTGAGGTGACTTGCACCAGAGCCCCTCCTAAAAGACCCAGAATCAACATACCCAGTGGCTGGCTTCAGACCACCCCAGAATACTACCCAGTTAGCTCTATAAATGACAAACCCAATGAGTGGACTCAACAGGTACCAGAGTCCTCCTAAAATGAATCAAGCTCCATGTGGTTAGCACCGCACAACAGCTCATCCGATTTAGTCACAGCC